TATGTATATGTATATGTATATGTATATGTATATGTATATGTATATGTATATGTATATGTATATGTATATGTATATAGTATTTTCCCACATCATTATAGTTGTGCTTTTAAAGTTGTAGCAATACAGGCTTCTGTATTGTGTTCGTTTGTGAATCAGACTTTCACAGCCGTTTCAGTTTTAAATTTGGGGCTAGCCACATATATTTGTAGTTTATATATTGTAAACCCAACTATGTTATTTACATATACATAACAAAGGGCACAACTCTCAACATAGTCTTGTAGTAAGTGCCATACAATTAAGATATTCATTTCATATTCTTCCTGACCACTTTAATGTATTATGCTTTGTTTCCCAGCAATTAAAAACAAAAAAGAAATAATATGAACTGATAACGCTTACTCTATACAAGAAAAACTTTTATGTGCCATGAACAAATAATAACAAGCTAATTCATTCCTACAATTAGAAAATAGCGTGCACCACTCAATCTTAGATTTCCTGATATTTACTGAGAAAGTGGAAAATAGGGGCATGTACAATAGCCTGGCCCATATACTGCTTCTGTATATTCAACAAAATCTTAGTCTCTTCAGCTTGTGTATTTTACTACAGGTTGTCCTCAACTTACAACAGCTTGTTTAATGATGGTTCAAACTTATAACCACACTGAAAAATGTGACTTATGACTGTTTTCACATTTACAACTGTTGAAGCATCCTCGTCGTCATGTGATCAAAATTCAGACACTTGGCAAATAACTCATGTTTATGATGGTTGCAGTGTCCCAGGGTCATAAGATCACCTTTTATGACCTTGTAATAAGCAAAAGTCAATGGACAAGCCAGATTCATTTAACAACCATGTTGCTAACTTAACTACAGTGATTCACTTAACAACTGTAGCAAGAACTGTGGCTTAACAACTATCTCACTTAGCAACAGAAATTTTGGGCTACATTGTGGTCATACGTTGATGACTATCTGTAGCACCAACTGTTGAAATCCAATAATGAGGGAAGACTATGTGCAAACCCAATATTCCATCCATTTTGGATCATCACAAAGTCCCTGGAAACTGTGTATAAGACTTTTATCTAAAGAAAACAAGCACAGAGTTCCATAGAATTGGTCATTAGCTTTCCATATGAACTCTTTCCCTTACAAAAGAAAGGGGAAAAAACCCCAGTGATAATCTTGTATATTACTTAACAGTGAAATTCACATTAAATAGATTGTTTTTATTTTATCAAATAATAAAATATCAGGTTCGATATATATACAGAATACACATATATACACCAGAAACAAACTATAGCATACCAACACCCCACTTTCCAATCAGTAAAACCAAAACAATTTACTGTTTTAAGAAAAGAAATATATGGAAATTTAAGATGCCTTAACCACTATTCCAAACTGTTTCTCATTATTAATCTAAATATATAAAATATTTTTTCTGATACATTATAGACTCGTAATTGCATATTTTACTCTATTTCTCTGCATTGCAGTGAAACCTATTTCCAGGTGTTTATAGAGAATGCCAATTGTCCTATTTTTTCCTTTTACCTTTCTTTCATTTCAATGCTGTTTTTAAACTGTGGGTAAACATATATATCCTAATTTATTATATAAGAACACACATTTAACAATTATTTATTTACTTATTTTTCAATGGTCTAATTCTACTATCCTACCATTTCTGATTCAAGTGGATGAAAAAGTATCTGGTTTTGACATTCTTCTGTGAAGAGAAGAAAATGTTAGTGAAGTATAGGTTTCTTATACTTTGGTTAAGTAGTAGCTAAAACATGTCTATCAGTATTGTGTCTTTGTTTATACAATCTTCTTTTTAGTGCTTTCCTGGCTTCTTACACCTTTATTATTAACCAGTGAAAGATAATAAACAGGAACTGCTCCCACTGGCTTTCATCAGATTAGGAACAATGGGTAACCAGGGAGATATGAGAATGAGGGAAGAATGCATGACTGAAAGAAATTATAGCAGGAATACTTTCTTCCATCAACTATAAAGCAAGTACCTCTTATAAAAGGTATAAACAGGAAAAACATTAAGTTTTAAATCTTTTGTAACTGGAAGTGCTACTTAAAGCTCCAATTAAATCACAGAGCTCCTCTTCCTCCAGATGTTTCCCAAATATCTTCATCTTAGAGATTATTTCTCCTGAACCAGGAGTAGATAAGAGAAGGACAAAGAAGAAAGAATAAGAAAGAATTAGATATTAAAAACATGCTTGTGATTCAGTACTATTTTGTAGGTGCACTCAAGGGAGGAAAAATAAACATTTGATTTTAATCACCATTACTTTGTCTAAAAAATGTTGCACTCCATTTCCAATACATTCATACAGCTCTTACTTGATGAATTTAGCTCAGACATGATGATGCATACCTAGATAGATTACGTATTGCTATATATGTTTTTTTAAGGAGGCATTTAAATAACTTTCATTATTATTCATTGTTGTTTTCTCTCTCTCTCTTCTCTTTCTTTTTTCTCCTGTCAAGCAAATGAAATTTATATTATGGTATTATAATAAGGTACTTACCCATTATTTAAAGTCACAAATTCCATTAGTATACATGTGCTTGGGCCTGCATTGGTTCCTTGTGACCTTTTAGGAAGGATAATAGGCAATCTACATCCACTGAACACATGAACTGTAAGAAATTGCCATCTGTTTTCTTTAGAAGTATACGTAGGGAGCCAGGTATAATGCATATTTTAGAGTACAACTTAATAACATGTGATTTATTTGTTTATTTATAATCCCAAATGCTGAACTTATTAATATTTTCTATGCTTGAGCTCTTGTATATTTTAAAGTTTGTTTTTTTACATTACACAAAAGCTTTGTAAATAATTATTAGAGCCAGCTAGATAAAATCTCTAAAGTTTACTAGTACATAATATCTTCATAAAATGTCCACGGTATAAGGATATCAACCTTTAAGATTCAGTTATTTGATCTGTTCAAAACTAATGGGAATCTTTCATTTCCAACTTCTTTAGTGACTAATGGAATCTCATACCTATTCTACTGCTTAATTTTTTCTTTGCCAACTGGTATATCAGCACTCTATAGAAAAATTATACATTCTTTAAAAGCATTTTTAATCTTTAATCAACACTATTAGTTGAATTCAACAGCTGAGCTTCTTCCCTCCTATGATGTAACCTAAGTTGGAAAGGAAAGGCAACATTTTGTTTTGCCCAGTGAAATTCTGAAGACCTTTGGTATGAAAAGTTATCCTTGGAAAAAAATCTTGCTCATATTTCATCAAGTTCTGAGCCTTAGCCACCCTAATCCTTTGAAAGAACAGTTAGCTGGGTTTATTAAGAGGAGAGCTTGGCAAGACTTATGTTCCACCTTGTCTTTGGCAGTGATAACAGTTGTGCAAGCTTCTTTGTACTTTTAAAATCTTTTTTATTTCATGAGAAATGAGGAACTGATGGTGATTACAGTAGATAATACGGTGGTGTACAACCACTTTACAATGAGTCTGAATTCTTATAGATTAAGTCTGTATTTGGTTTAGAATCTATCATAACCATTAATTTAAACGGAGAGACTACAACCATGGTTAGGATGCTAGGAAAGTGTTAAGTTGCTAAAATTATGAGGTGAAATCATGTCACTTTCAGTATGATTTTAACAGGATATTTTGATACCCTTAAAAAAGACAGATTTTTTTCACAATGAACAAATTTGTTTTATTTATTAATTAAATTTGTTTGCCACCCATTTCGCTGCAAAAGGAACACAACACCCACTGAAAATAACACCCACTGATGAACAACTTATTCAATTTCCTTTTTAAGTGGAATAAAGCTAAAGCAAGTTTTGGTTCCTTCAGAGTTGGCAGCACTTTGAGTTGACATTGGTAAATGTCATTTTTGAAAGGGCTTATCTGTCAGCTGAAAGGATAGTATTCATCAGATTATTATGTTTGTTATGTTCTCAACATGTTTTCAGTATTTGAAGATCAAAAAGCATGAAGACGAGCAAATTTGCTTTAAACTGCTTTGAGGGACTGAATTTACACCATGTGGAATTGCCCAACTGTTAAGTAATTGCAATTTTTCATCCAAAGATAGGATGATTATTACACATTCTTATTTATCTTAGATCTCATAACATTACTCCCAGAAATTACTGATCAACTTTTAGGATTCAAGACCTGTTTTTTGGTGATTTCTTTTGGTTATATGTTACTGTCAGTCACTCTTCATACATGCATGATAATAAAATCTTGATTTTCTAAAAATTTAACTGCACATTCTTAAGGCCCTTATAATTAGCTGACATCAACTTTATTTTTTTTACATAGCTACCGATCTTAAACAAGTAGTTCTGGGTAGCTGCAAGATAATTGCTTTAAGGAAGTCATATCCAGATTGAAAGTAACACTTATGACAGAACAAAGGAATCCATCCATTTGCGTGTTTATTATCCCAAAAGTTAAATTTTGGGCCTTTTCTTCCTGTCTTTTCAAATTAATGAACAGCCAAATTTTCCTCAGCATTGAAACTTGATGATGTCTGTTCCCAGAAGTGGTATTCAGCAGGTTCTGGCCAGTTCTAGAGAACAGATAGCGGAAATTTTGAGTAGTTGGAGAACCGACAAACACTACGTCTGACTGGAGATTTTACAGTATCCTTCCCCTGCCACACCCACCAAGCCACGCCCACAGAACCAGTAGTAAAAAAAAATTGAATCCCACCAATGTCTGTTCCATATTTAAATCATGGTTGACCTAAGACTGACTGGGTTGCACTTCACTAGCTTCAGCTCTTACATCATTTTTATGATCATCATGTACTCCATCGTCTTCTTTTTCTCTAATAGATTTTTGGACACAGATTTCTCATTTCCACCTTCTAAGTTATACCAAAGTATAGTGTAATTTAATGAATTCCAGTGAATGTCTTATTTATTTAATCCTATAAAGTATAGGTTAGTTTATTTTAAATTATTTCTGGAGCTTTGGAGAGGAGCATAGATCAGGGGTGTCAAACTCAATTTCATTGAGAGTCACATCAGGATTGGATTTGACCTTGGGGGGCTGGTGGGGGCATGGCTATGGTGGGTGTGCCCATGGTAGGCATGACACAGAACCACACCTCTGTAGACATTGTTTTATAAACTTATAAAAATAGGGAAGCATACATTTCTGTGGTTTTGTTTTTTTAATATTTACTTGATCTACTCGACCACCTTATGAAAGAGAGACAGATCAAAAAACTGACTCCATAGGAAGTCTAGAACTACAAAATTGTTGGCATAGGCATAGCAGAATCCTGAAAGCCTGAAAGGTAAAAAGTAAAAGATATTTTACTTTTTCTCCCTTTTATAACCTTCTGAGTCCGAGGCTCTGTTTTGGGCTTGGAAGCCAAAAGCAGTTGCAGGAGAGGTGTGTGCGCCCCTCCTGTGGCCCATTTTTGCTAGCAGAGGAACCGCAGGTTGGTCCCTAGTTATTTCCAGACTGGCTCCAGATCTAAGCACTCCGCGGGTCAAATCTAGCCCATGGGCCTTGAGTTTGACACCCCTAGTATAGATGATCTGAAACTTCAGTTAAGTTTAGTTCTGAACTTCCACATCTAGTTTTATTTGGATACCTCAGTTTTTAAGACTCATATCAATTAACATCATTTTTCATACTTTCCTC